TTTCCAAAGGCGGCAGAGGGTCTTGGGGAGACGGTGAGGTCACTGGTGGCACGTGAGCCTGCACGCGGCACTCTGCCCAGTGCTGTGCGGGTCCCACACGGCGCACGTGAAACCACTGACTAGCCCAGCCGTGGGCAAACTACCGGCCCGCGGGCCAGATCCGCCCGTTTGAAATGAATAAAACTATTGAAAAAAAAAAGACCGTACCCTTTTATGGAATGATGTTTACTTTGAATTTATATTAGTTCACACAAACACTCCATCCATGCTTTTGTTCCGGCCCTCCGGTCCAGTTTAAGAACCCATTGTGGCCCTCGAGTCAAAAAGTTTGCCCACCCCTGGGCTAGACGGAGAAGCAAAACAAAGCCGCTCCGACACACACTCACCACGAAGGCCGCACGCACAGGGGCTGAGACAGGCGACAAGCAAAAGTGAAGTTTCCGGCCGTGGGCACCTCCCCACCCCCCGCCCCCGCTTGTTTGCTGTTCTTGTTACTCCCTGTTTTGGTTAAAACAGGTGAGAAATGAGTGCTGACTAATTCCATGACTAATTCTAGCATCTTTTAAAAATATATATATTTGTATTGATTTCAGAGAGGAAAGGAGAGGGAGAGAGATAGAAACATCCATGATGAGAGAGAATCATTGATCGGCTGCCTCCTGCATGAGTTTAGGGCTGTGTTTCTCTCTCATCTGTGTTTCTCTCTATCGCTCTCCTCTCTCTCTAAAATCAGGAAAAACATATTTTTAATGAAAACAAACGAAATTAAGGCTAAAGACAGAGAGTTGCCACCAACTCCCTCCAACTGCTTTCCCGCCCGGAGACCAGGTGCAGGGAGGGGCTCAGGCAGAGGGCGGCCGAGGCCTGGCCCCGCTGGTCACTCAGAGCGCCTCTGGCCCGACTCTCACCGCCCCCACCCCCACAAAAAAAAACTCATACTCACCCTCACCCCCCCACCTCCCTCCAATATCCTGATGGGGAGACTATCACCCACAGTAGAGGGGAGGAGTCAGGCACACAGCTAGCGGTACAGCCGGGCAAACAGAATTCACAAATCCCCGTGGGGTTTCTAACCTGAAAATGTCCTTTCAGATTGGCTGGTGTTTTATAGTCCCCTTTCAAGACCTACAGAAGAGAAAAGAAATATCACTTTCAGGGATCTGATAAAAAAATAAAATTCAGTCCATTACCTCCACATCCATCCCCCTTCCCACCCATCCATCCATTAACTTATCTATCGCACCACTCACCTGTCCATCCTCCCACCCGCCCATCCACGTGGCCAGTGTGGGGCGATCTGGGCCATGTCCCTCCCCACGTCCCTAGGGATGTGACCAATCCCCTGGGACAGCTTCACACACACGGGGGTCCTCCCAATTAGTGAGCACTGACCCCCAGGATCCATTACAGAAACACAGAGTAGACACAGAAACACACACACGCACATACATGTACACGCACACTTACCCATGCACACACACAAGGCTTTCAACAAAGGAACTTAACTCTGCAGTAGCATCAAAACCACCCTAAACAGCTATCTGTCCAGCTGGTGTGGCTCAGTGGCTGAGCATCGACCTATGAACCAGGAGGTGATGGTTCAATTCCCCGTCAGGGCACACGCCTGGGCTACAGGCTCAATCCCGTGTGGAGTGTGCAGGAGGCAGCCAATCAATGATTCTCTCTCATCGCTGATGTTTCTATCCCTCTATCCCTCTCCCTTCCTCTCTCTGAAACCAGTGAAGGGTAAGAGTAGAGGAATAAAGTGTAGTGCACAGATGGGCCTGAGGGCTGAATGCTATAGAGCAGGGGTCCTCACACTACGGCCCACG